ACACACACTAAGAACTGTAACCCCATCTGCAACGGGAGTCGGGCTTAGGAGACAGGTCTACTAGTTCGGCTACAGTTAACAGGCCAGCTCCAAATTTACTCCATGGATTTAATGTACAATGATATACAATAAACGGGTACATTTACATATGAGAAATTTGCTAACCAAATAAGATCGCTGCATTTATTTATTTATTTCAAAGACATCAAGGGGAAAACATGTGCTCAAGACATCATTGTTGAAATAAGGAAAGTATCTAACAACGTGAATAATGACATCCACGATTATTTTTAACTAAGTCTTTCATATGGCAGATTATAACCGCCCAATGTTCATGTCTGGACGGGTAAATACTTACGGTTCGCAGTGACTGTTGTATTTGCTGGGCAAGATTTACATCTCAAATCTAATTTATCAAAGAACTGAGTTGTGTTACAACTGGACGGTACTTCATATGGAATGAATTCCGTTTGTGCAAGTATTTGACCATAATTTACACTAAGAATAAAAGATACGCATAGCAATATGACCGCCATCATTGTTGATACTATTTTGTTAGGTCAGACGCATGTTTGAATGGTGGGGTAATCGCTTGCCTGACTAAAGCTTTAAGTGATACTGACATCTTAACATACGAAGTGAATATTAATTAAATACTATATTTTGTAATTCAAATAACACTTAAAGATTTTAAAACATATACTTGTCGAATATAAGATAATAAGTATACATCTAGGGCGACATATTTGAATTGTCAATAAATATATCAAATAACTGTTCCGCACAAAACAGACGGAGGTCGGCCATTTTTTGGCGAACAAAAGATGTTATTTCAAGAAGAAGAAGACATTTGATTACATTCTCAGAAGTTATTTAACGATATTGACAGCAGACGACCAAAGGTACGACAAGTTAGATTGATTATGAAATATGCCTGTTCACAAAACGCGCGTGAAAATGAAAAAGGAATCTACGCCAAGGCAACATGCGCGTGGCTTGTTCAGGAACCGGCCATTTAGCAGAATTATAAACACAGGTTTATTAATAGCCCAAAGTTTGTCCATTGGTGACACATTAGTTAATTATGTTATATTTTGATAAGCTTGATATGGCGAGATTAATTTCAAGCAGCAAGCATTTTTCAGTAATGTAAATATTCGGATGGACGGAAATCATAACCGCAAGGTGTCGCTTTAAACTCGTGTGTATTCGACATGTGTTTTTTTTATTCCGCCAATGTCCGTGATAGATAATGTTTTTAACGTGTTGTCGGGAAATTCCTGAAGACCTATATCTTGGAAGTCCTCGTAAACGAGACTGTCGTGACAGAATCCTTATCAGACTTTGATAGCAGTCGGCGTATACTTAAGATGGGACCCTTAGATATCCAATATGAACAGCCCAAGATTCCTCTGGTCGATTAAAAAAAATTTTTCCTTGGCGAAATATCTTTTACAGTAGCATATGCATTAACATGTTAACTTTAATTTGTCAAAACTGTAAACGTAAAATTTCAGACATTTTTTTCTATAACATTTTGTTACAATGCTTAGTGTCTGAAGTGATCAACTTCATGATGAAAAAATAGATGCGACTTTCTTTTTTCATTCTGAAATTTTAGAAATTAACTGAATATAGCAATTATAGGTCTTAAATAGCCATTATTATTATTCATCAGATTTTACCTGATATTTGAATGCAGGTGCTAGATTTTTAAGAGTTGCCAAAATAGATCTGTAATGACATCAACATGACAATTAAATAAGGGTCTTTGGCATCAAGATATCTAAGGCATGTGGGTTCATAGCAGATTTTATCACTGTTTTAAAACAAGAACATTGCACCAATTAATGAAACAAAACACAAAAGGGTAACATGTTTCTGTATAATTTTCACACATTGTGATGCAACCATGCCCCTACATGGTACAGGTTCCTGTCAGTATGCAAATATTTAAGACTGGCAGAGGAAACTCAGGCTAATGGAAATGCTTGAATTGAACATCTTTTTCCTTCACCAACATTTTTGGTTGCTGTAAATACCAAAAAAACATACAGCATGTTATAAAAGTTATTTAACAAAAGGAACCGTTAATAAAAAGTGAAACAATATTTAAAAGTTTGATAAATCTAGTAATATGATTTTACATTTCATGAAAATAATCAATGATTTGATATCGATCAATCTAAAACTGAATATTGCCATTCAGTGTTCACTTCATGAAAAGATCTTCTATTCATCTGCCATCAGTTATTGCAAGTCATATCTATTTTGCAGAATTGCATAGTAATTCAGAAGACAAAAGCAAATTAAAAAAAAAGTTATCTTTATAACAACTTAGTCTTTCATGATCAGTCTGGAGAGAGTTTTCCACACAAGGATAGGATTTTCACTTGTTGCAGGAAATAGCTATTTAACTATAGTCATGATCGTATGATTTAAATACACCAAATTTAAAACAGTTCAATATCGAAATTTAGTCTGAATTTAATGCTTCCTTTGAAAAATTCATCAAAAAGGTTTAAAATGTACAAAGGGAGATATCCAAATAAACCATAGATAGAAATAACCCTAAGATTTATTGATAGTTTGTCCTACAAAAACATTTGAGATTTAAGTTGCTAAACATCGAGTTATGAGACAACGCAAATTGGTAAATATACACTTAAATGTACAGCAGTGTAACTGGTAACTGGGTCAAATGCAGTACAAATATCAATCCAGAAAAGAGAACTGAGTCTGATGCCAAATTATCTATTGGAATACCAAATTTGAAGAAGACTAGCACTTCTTTTGTAACAAGCAAAAGTAAACTGACAGTATTTCTCTAACCAGGACTTGTATTATAAACATGAATTTCAAGAAGTTTTATTTCTAAGCACTAACCAGAAGTAGAAAGGGCAGAGGACATTTTGTGCTTAAACTTGGAAATGGCCAGCCAGATTCAAGAATTCAAAATGGCATGAAAAATTGCACAGAAAACCGGAAACATATCATGTTGAACACTCGCAGACTCTTGATGGTTCTTGCACAGGATACCTCGTGAAAACATGACCAAATTAAACTAGTGATCTTGATAAAATTGTTTTCTGATTGAAGTAAATATATCAATACTGGATATGTAAAATTTCTACGTAGGATACAAAGATGATAAAACTAATACTAGGATACTGGAAGAGACATGGAGTTCAAGTGCACCTGGATCAATCAAAAGAATGCTGTTTACCCATCCACAGTATACTTCAAAATAGTAAAGATGATCAAGAACAAATTCACAAAAACCCTCCATACAGCAGTGATCAATTTAAAATTTAAATATTTCAAGAAAGTCCCATTGATATCAAAATTCTATTAGTCCAGGACTCCGGACTTACATGAAGACAATGATATAAATTCACACTACAATGTTAAAAAATCAAATTGCAGTTTATGAAAATCTATATTTTAAGTTAACAATTTACTAATACCATCCAAAATGTACCCCAAATCTTTGGAAAGCTACCGGTACATGTGATAGATATTTATACCTGATTGTCAGCACATGTATGGCAAAAAATACTAGCACTAGTAGAAAAATGCAACACATTGAAGTATACTTAACTTGTCTTTACCTTCCCAGCCTGCCAAAATCACTATATATTATATGTGATTTTACTTGAATTGAAAGTGGTCAATATTGTAAACATTTTGTACAAACATAATTCACTTTCACTGTTGTATCTGTGATTGATTTTTAAATGTTATTGATCAGTTAGTGTCAATGGCAAAAGTGAATATAAATCATAATGTAATAGTATAATCATTATATGATAGGATTAAGGAATTAAGCAGGCAACCAGCATTTATTGAAAACAAAAAAAGTGTAATTTTTAATCTTCAATAAACTGATATGTATTTCATGCAGATTGAAGTTTATAGTGACAAAGTATGGTCATATATTGGTCATATATTGGTCATGCGTATTAAGTAAAAGATCAAGTAATATATGGGTACAAAACATTTATCATTAAGCATTAATAAGCAATTAAAAAAACATGTACATAGCCTTTTAACATGCATAGCTACCAAGCGCAATGTGCCAGTTGTTCATAAATAATGATCATTGCAAGGTCTTCAAGGAATGGATCAATACTGTGATGTTGTAAGTGATGTTAAAAAAGAGATTGAAACCTATTACACATATGAACTGCAGCATGTCCATAAAACCGAGTTTCAAATTCCAGAAAGTACATACATTTAACACATGGCTCCTGATTTAAATCATTTCCATAAAATATCCTTACAGTACAGTGATGCATACTAAAGAAAACAATGTCACCGTAAAAAGACCATATCAAGAGTTGGCATGCAAGAGTTACAGCAATGTCTGACTCTACCATGTTGAGATCTGTGATGTAGTACTCATACAAAGAAATATACTACAAAAGAATTTGCACGGACTGTTGTGCCAGTATTGATATATTTCATTTCATTTCTCTGGTCCACGGAAAGCAATTTTATTCTGATCTTAACATTATGTTTTCTTCTTCATTCAAATTCTTGGATTCCTTTTGTTTATCGCGGTTCGGTCTTCGTGGTGTATGTCCGTATTTGATCCGAACAGATCTACAGTTACTGCATTTTACTCTCAGTATTTGAAACATCTGTCAAAAGTACTAGTACCCCATATTCTTTTACGAACAGTTTCACTTGTTTTCTTTTCTAAGTAGCAAGTTCTTTCAACAGACCGATGTACCAGATAACCCACATTTCCAACAGTCACTTAATTACCTGCATAAGTAACTGATCCCAGTTTGAAATTTTGTAAAATAATTCCCAGTATGAACAAAAGTGAAATATAACTTCCTCCGATTCAGATCCATATGGCAATATTCAACATTACCTGGAAAATTCTTTCCATCAATTATGAATTATTATTGCCGTAGAGTTTATTTTTGTTACGTTACTGGGGTTATTTCAAAAGAAAGCACTCTTGTAATTGAACAGTTTAATTCTGTTGAATTTCAACATTATAGGCAAGCAGTTGTTGAATGAATCCATTGTATTTTATGAAATTGCTTTTTTATTATTCTTGATTGCGATTGTTATTCAAATCTATACTTGTTGTATCTTGTATACATGTATGAACAATTGTTGATCAAATATTTCATGTTTTATTGACATACCTACATTTTTATTCAGTGTATCATATCAAATTGATAATATTTTGATAATATATGTTTAATTGAAAGAACTGAAGCATGATGTATAGAGAATAAGCTGTGTTTTAATCACATCTTGTGGTACATGTATGTAAATATCAAATGCAAAGCTAAAATCATCACTGGCTGATTTGAAATTATAAAACTTTCCTATCTTTAAAATAGTTCCAAATGACTGAAAGTTGATTGGTGCCTAGGATAACATATTGTATGATTTTAAGCATTGTTTTTGTAGAAAATAGTGATTATGACCTTGTAATGCATGATAAGCAAGGGTTAATATTGTGACCAAACTGGCTATATCATAATATGGGACAGTTTATATTTTATAAAGATACTTGCTGATTTCCTATTTGTACAAGAACATATTGATGAATTGACGTTTCTGAAATGTGACACATTTCAAGATAGGATTAATTGATAGTTATTCTTGTGGCTCTTCAGCATGTTTTATAACTGTTTACATTCAAAACTGGAGATTGTATAGACTTGTAATGAAACCTTTCTGCATTTAATTTGCTGTAATAATTACCCCATAGATTAGACAGTATAATTTGTGAAAACAGTGTCAAAAATTGATTTTAAAAGCTGTTAGATTCCCCGTAGTTTATCTCGTTTAAAATGGAGTTTCTTTGTACTACTATGATTTTGATCCAGCATTGGTCATACATTCAGGGTAATATGTTTAAAAGATATATTCT